CCCGTTAATCTATATATTACAAACAAACAAACATGCATGTCACATACCATGCATTTTACCACTGTAGTCCCAAATGCTTTAATATATAAAATTACCCCTATAAAATATCTCAAGTTCATGAACCCCTTTTGCTAGTCATCTTATCTAATTCATTGATCTCGAGCCCAAATCACCCACATCAACGATTTATCCCGTTGATACCTTATTCTAATGTGTACACTGGGCTCGCTTGGAATTGGTTTCACAATGAATAGATTCAACTGCACAAAAGCTAATTTCCACATTTTCCCACACAACCCAAGTAACTCCTTTACTTTGTTGACAAATGATAATGATCATGCTAGTATAAATATACCATATGTATTACATTTAAGCCAATAGCTAAAATAGATTATGTTAAAATATCAACATTTCACGTAAATATATCAAAATTTCACGTAATACAAATAACCCATGTAATGAATTAATCCGCAAATTTCCCCTACCTCGAATCCTAAGCTCTGCACTACACGAGCAAAGCACCTCACTTCTTTCTCCACGAGTACTTCTTCCGCTTATCTCCTCCATCACTCTCTTACTCACTTTCTACGTAATGCATGTATTGCATGCATGAGAATTTGTGATGTAAAGACAAAGGAACATTGCTCCTATTTATACTACCATGAGGCAGCTCCAAAACTTAAGAACTAAGGAAATATATAATAATATATGCATAAGGATTGGATGAAATGATGACTAAAAACGAAGCAAAGTAGGAGATGGATAAATATAGGTTAACAAGTAGCTTGGTAAAACATGTGGTACACATAAGCACTAGGCAAATAACTAAATGAATGTATAAGAATTCGACACTTGTTTCTCAGGTGTGATCAAGATACAAGAGTAACAAAGGCTTGTCATAAGGTTGCAGGATGTGGCTGGTAAAAAAAGAAAAAATAACTCATATTGATCTCTTTCTTCAAATGGAGGAATACAATTGGACAAGCACAACCTAATATGATAGTAAACCCAAGTTCTAAGTAATGTATGTGTGGAGGCTCCCATGCATGCAATTATGTTTATATAATTATACAGAGAATTAATACATAATAGTTTATGGAATATGTCGAAATAACTTTCGAAATACGGAATCTTTCAAAGCTTTCCCATAGAGCAGGTTTGGCATGCTATATCCTGCTGGACCTCACCTAACCTTCTGGTTAAGGGATGCTAGTGAGTAAATTTGAGAACACGGTGCATAAAGCGCAATTAAATTGATCGCCTAGACTTTAGTAAATACACCAAGCACTATGGCGAGTATGATAAGCAAGTGCGATGAATTCTAACTTTCAGAGTGTTGCTCCAGATGTATTGCTCTGATCTAGCTAAAATGACGAGATCATATATTAGCTGTAAACATGCCTGTAAGGATAGACGTACCTAACAGACATCGAGTTAACATCCCTAAAGGGTGTGCCGCATTAGAAGAACGGTTGGTCACCCCCATTAGACAACCGGCACGTCGGCGGATAACCAATCAATCTGTCCATGGCTTGATGCGTGACAAATCACTCGGTTTGTAGGATTAACTTCCCAAGAAGATGAAGGATAAGGCACAAAATGAATCCCTACTTGATTGTGTCGTAATCATTTCCATCTCATGAGATTAATCCAGATTACTCCCAAGACTTGCAATTCTTATACTAATATATGGAATTGGAATAAGATCATCATCGATGATGTTTTCACTTACAGAGTAACTACTGACATGAATGAAAAGCGACAATATCGAACCATGTTCTGTTAGTGAAAACGTAAAAGTGATTAAACAACTAAAAGTACAAGCCTTGTTGAATTAGATTCCTTACCAAAGTATGTTTGAACGTGTCGTTCCTACATTGCTCAAGGTAACCCTGTTATGTTACAACTAGGAAAGGAAGGTTAATGAGATGAATGAAATAATGTGATGTAATGCATGCCTAATGGCGCAAGGCTTCTCTCAAATGCCATGTGATTCATTGTAGCATTATGAATGTGGTTAGTGTTTCTCTATGGGGATATCAATTTGTGTAAATCTCCAAAGAGTTACATGGACTGATTCAAATAGCTCAAAACCACAAAATACCCTTTCAATCAAATAAGGCATTCACTTTACGGATTGAAGCAATTTGGGCGGATGTGGTATACCTATATAAGTGATTATTTGATCAGTCTAGGATATGAATAAAGGCCATTGTGTGTTCTATTAAGAAGTCATATCCCAATTGCTAGAGTTGCAGTTTTTGTCCATGACATGAATTCACTAAGACTCTGGAAAAGTTTGAGAAAACTGCTTAATACTTGGAGACATAATTTGAGATAAAGGATCTTGGAAAAAATCGTTTATACTGGACCTGATGTTCATGCATTTTTCTTAGGGTAATTTGGTCCACTAGTCGAACTACACCTTGAAAGTGTTACCTTTTGAGTATACCTATGATCATCCATACACTAGATGCAAATAAGACCTTAAAGAGGTTGTGGAATCCGAAGTTCCATATCTAAGTTCAACTAGCGCTTTGTTGTACTTAGCTCATTACATTAGGCATAACATCTCATTTGTTGTTGATCTATTGTGAAAGATGCAGCACTGCACCTAGACCAATCACTAAATTGACACTTGTGACGTATTTTGTGCTACCCTGAAGGTATTATGGATTTGGGCTTATCCCTATGTATTCCGAGCGGATCTAACCCCTAATCCTCGGAATGATGTTTACCTTGTTTGTTATGCCGACACATGTTACTTATCAAACCAGCAGAAGACACATTCTTAAATGGTTACGTCTTTACTATTAGGGATATTGTAATATCTTGGAGGTCCATGAGATAGACCTTAGTTGCGAAATCTTTTAATCGTGTTCCAAGACTCACCACACTTCACTACGCCACACACGAGACATAGTTGAGAGCTTTTGTTGAGCATATTCGAAGCACTTACTGTTTTCATCTATCGTTGAGTCCCAATGATGATCCATAAAGACTATGCTGCATGTATCTTTCAAACCAATACCTGATACATCAACAAAGTCAACACCAAGCATATTGTCTACATCTCACCAGCAAAGCATCAAGAGATTGAAGTCAAGCAATCCGATCCCAGACAACCTTGTCGACCTCTTCACGATGTTATTGCTGAAGTCTACCTTCTAGAAGCTTGTTCAAGGAATTGATATGTGTAACTATCTCATATGCAACACTTGTAGTTTTCATTTGGAAGTTTTGTTAACCTTAGAGGGAGTATTTAGAAGTATACTCACTTGATCTTAATGTATTATTTTTCCCATGATTAGGAGCATTTTTCCCACTGGCTTTTAGCTACCTAATTAGGTTTTAACAAGACACTCATCCTGGGCTGGTCATACCCTTGTTAGCTTTCCACTTGCATTTAAAAGACGTATAGTTTTGACTTAATGCAAACTTCTCACGTTTCTTCTTAAACTATGAGTTTTATTCCCATAATGAGACCATAGCCAGGTTTGTGAGTTTTACTACTAGTGCATTCTTCTGTTTAATTTAAGACTCGTATTCGCTCATTATGCTGATGACTTCAGCAATTAAACTTACTTCATCACTGAAGACTTGATGCGATATTTTAATTAAGTATTTATACACCTAAGGGGGACTATTGCAGTCCTAATTAGATTAAGAATGTGATTGTGTAAATCTTGTTTAGGTTATGTTATATCTTTTAGGTAGTGTCCTATTTCTATTGTAATACTTAAAAGGCAAGGAATTTACCTTCTCTACTACTATGAATAAAGGCACAATGGGTTGAGAAAACACATCACAAAATTCACCCAATTTTCTACTCTTTGCCACACCCTCTCTCTATAATTCTGCAATTAAGTAGGCCTCCAATAGTTTATGAATTGTCAGTTAAGTTATAAAGCCATGGTTATATATAACAGGATATGATACTCTTCGGATCCAACCCATCTGGATCCTACGGATCCTTCTTCTTCTTCTTCTTCTTCTTTCATCTCTTTAGTTTTGCTTCTGCTTCCTCTTGTTCTTCAATCTTGCTTCTTCTTCTTCATTTTTTCTACTTGTTTCTGGGGAACTTCTACGCATCTTATTTTTCAGAACGACGAGCAGAGTTTGTCATTCCAGATGACTATGACGTTGCTGATTACCAGTGCTAAGGAAGCCACCATGTTGACTCCAGGGAAACCACCACGCTGACTCCGGGGAAGCCACCACGCCAAGTCTGGGGAAGCTAGGATGCCAACTCGGACCGTAAAGAAGAAGGATCCGGATGGGTATGCTTTGGATATGATCCTATCCCATATATAACATGGGTGTATCTCTTTTAAGTACAAAGAATTCTTCTATTTTAATATTTACTAGAAATTATTTGGTTGTGAATTCGTCATTCACGAGATTCAAAACTCAGACTTCTCACTTACAAGTGAAAAAAAAATACAACTAGGCTGTAATGTTAAATGGTGACGTTTGTACAAACTAAGTGAGGGAGAAACACATGAGTGTTCCTGTAAACTGTTGCACAAATTTAGTTGATGGAGTCTTAAGACTCTTAACCATGTAAGATGAAAATTAAAGTTTAAAGGAGTTAAAATGTCAAAATTTGAAAAAGTAAAAAAATAGGCCAAGATGATAAAGAAGGGATTATTTTTGCTCACCACTTCAAGTGATGATAATTTTCACCACTTTATTTATCACCGTTAGATGAATTTAAATTTTGAAATCTATGCAGTGAATAGACACAAATATCAAATTTAAGATTATCAAATGATAATAAATAGAATAATAAGCATTAACAGATAAAGAAAAAAAATGCTAAAAAGATTAAATTTTTACATCAAATTTACAAACTAAAAATGATGTTTTATCTATAAAAAATAAACGCATTAAAAAAAAATCCGATAAAAAAAGCAAATAGGGTCCACATATTGGAAACGCACCAAGCGAGAGACCTTTTTCGCTTCTTACTCTTTGTCTTGTCCAGTTGTCTTAATACGACCATTCCCCAATTACCAGATATATAGTGGGGAGAGAGAGAGAGAGAGAGAGAGAGAGAGATTGGGGAAATCAATTAGGTCTTGGCTCAATGCAATACTTACAGTTTCGAAATTGAAGAGCCCCATTTCTCTGAATTATTTCAATGGCCGATCACTCAGACGCTTCGCCTCTCATGCCTCCGAAGCAGATCACCGAGCCCAGCGAGATCGACCTCGAGGCGGGCCCTGGCGAACAAATCCAGTGCCGAATTTGCCTTGAAAGTGATGGTATTTCTCTTCAACTTCACTTATTCGCTCGCCCAATTGATTTCATTTTTCTATTGGAGTGGTTGCCAAATTCTAATTTTGTGTTTCAAGTCTACCAACCTGATAAGCGTGTCTTGCAATTGGAAATGTTGCACAATTCCAAATGTATTTCGAATTGAGTGTGAAACTGTGATTTTTTCTTTTGGGTTCCTTTTAAATGCTTAGAGTTTGGTATTAGAAGCTTATAGTGGGGGTTTTCCACTCAGGTAGGGACTTCATTGCTCCCTGCAAGTGCAAGGGGACTTCCAAGTATGTCCACCGGGAGTGTTTGGATCATTGGAGAGCTGTAAAGGTTTGGTTGCCATCTCTATTTTTTTGTTTTTGTTTTTCTCTTTTCAAATTCAGTGCAGATAACACCATGTTGTGGGTTTCCACGCAAATGCAAGCTGAGTGATCCCATCCATCCATTCATCCATCCATCCATCCATCCATCTACTATATCAATTTTTATTACTTGTCATTCTTCTCAAACTGTTACTGTATCGTGTTGTGTTGTATGATTTTTTTGGGTATTTGAAAAATAATAGAATGCAAATCCAATGACAAGGAAAGGTCATTAATTATAATCTAGATTGGTGTGTCGTGTATGGGCTTCAAAATGTGCTTGTTGTAGTTCAAGTATGAAGTAAATTTTATTGAAGTGAAGTTCCCTCAACCCTATTGTCTCTGGCTGTCCAGCATATGATGAAATGGAATCGAGATCTTGTTACGCTTGCATTGTCATGATTTGTTGCCACTTGCCAGTTGTTTGTTAAGAATATATTGATCGCAGTGTGTTATACATGCGTAGCAAATTAATTTTGTTTTCCTTGTTGATGACTATTTAAGTCAGTTTTAGACTGTCAGTGCATTGCAGTAAGACCACACTTGTAGAACTCAGAAGTGGGCTTTAATTGGTCCTTCCATTATGTGTATGATTTATCTAACTAAGACAAATTAGCAACATATGTCCACATGTTCGTGTCTAGCTTCTTGTTAGGTTTCTCCAAATGATATCTGATTATCTTATTTTAACTTTTTCAGGAAGGGTTTGCATTTTCTCATTGCACAACCTGCAAGGCTCCTTATCATTTGAGAGTTCATGTCATTGCTGATAGAAAATGGCGTACCTTGAAATTCAGATTCTTTGTGACGAGGGACATTATATTCATATTTCTGTCTGTTCAACTTGTAGGTCATTTGTTTTTTCCTTTAGTTTCTTAGTTTTGCTTGATAGTTTGCATACGTTTTGCATATATAAGCATTAAACATTTTTGTTCATTTGTACAGGTGATTGCTTCGTTGGCCTATTTGGTTTATTTAATAGATGCTTTACAGCAATTCTGGCTTCGTCTTGCATGGGGTTTTGACAGTGAGCTTAGCTTCTACTATATATGTGGTAAAGTCTCAAGTTATAATGTAAATGCTTATGCTAGACAAATAAATAGTGATAAATGTTATAGATAGTGTATGCAATTCTTATTTTGGGTTGTATAAAATTATGTATGGCACCTTAGCCTGTTTTGTTAACGGACTCATATCTATGTCCTTACTAACAAGGTTTCTGAGATGAACATGTTCATCAGATTGAAATTACATAGGAAAGTAACATGTGATTGAATAGACAAAAAACCAAGTGACTGAGCAAGCTAGCAAGAAAAGAGGAAGAATAAAGAATATATATTGGTCTGTAGACAGTAGCGGAGGGAAAGGGGGGGTCAATGGGTTCACATGACCCCAACAACTCTGTATTACTCCACACTATTTTTGCTATTGATCCCAATACCCCAATAAGAACTTCCAATAATCAAGTTCAGTTTAAGTTTTAGGTTCAGTTTAAGTTTATGTGTGTATGCTTGCTTTGATTTTCATTATTTATTAAAACACTATATTAATCAACAGTATTTCATAGTGAGTTGAATGAATTGAAAAGATTGATCAATAATCTTGCACAAAAGTTGGTGTATTTGCTTATGGCAGTCGAATTGAAGGTTGTGACTGCTTAAGTGGAAAAATCTAATATTATACAGTTAAGATCACTATATGGTTATAACTTGGTTGTATACGTCGAAATAAATATTGTCATTATTGATAATGATATAGTACAACGACAAGTTCAAATTATAAGAATCAGTCATGAATTATATATATCTAAATAACAAAATATTACAACATTTATTTCTTTATTATGACCCTAGTGAGTTCAAATCCTGCCTCCGCCACTGTCTGTAGATGTATGTTTATCACTTCTTTTGTTTTGTTTTTTTTGTAGTTTTTTCTACTCTATCCTTATTTGTCATGGACGTGTACTTGATTAGGTGTTAGCACTTGCAATTGTATAAAAAACTGTGGCCTTCAGGGCCCACTACAGTCTTACTTCCAATTTAAATTATTATTCACCAAACAAGCTCTCTTCTGTTTTGATCAAAGCAGCTGGGAGGATATGATGGTCCTCAAAAAGTAACTGGTTAAGTGCAATAGAATTAGTGGGTCTAATTTTGGTGCTAAAACACTAATCAAGGATCATTCATATAAAAATATGTTTGGAAATAAGCGTACTATATGTTAAATGTCTCATTTATTATTGTGACAATACAGAAACGTTCTCTTTGCCCTTTTAAATAGTAGAATAGAGGTGAAAAAATGGAGATTCGGTATGACTTTATTAAACACCTGATCAACTTTGTTTTTGTCTCCATGTGTTGAACAGTTATTGACTGAAAGAATTGACATTTAGGTGTCACAGCAGTGAATATTTTTGTTCCCAGATGAAATCACATGGATTTGTCTCACTTCACTTTCATGTTTGCTGATAAATGGTTTGAGAAAACTCATGATGTTATTGGGATTTTCGTTTTACAAATTAATAGTGTTTTAAGCCATTCTGAATTTTATGGATCAGTTTGAGATTTCAAAGTTTCGGAAATAAATATATAATGAAAATCTGCAAATGTAGTCTAGTGATATTTTCTGTAGCCATGTTGAAACCCGAGAAGTTTTTATCCCAATAAGAAAGGGGTAAAAGAAATACAGAGAGTGAGGTGGTCTTCAAGGTCTTCACGGGAGGAAGATACTAACTGTAGGGGTAATAGATTTATTAGTGTGTTACTGGGATTACTGGCTGAACACTGTGCTGTCAAACAATGACATTTAGCATTTTGTAATGGTATCTCAAACTTTATTGCACGGACTAAGAAAAATTTCAAGATAGTTACAATTGTATTCTCAGATAAAATTATTTTTTATTTTTTATTTTATTCTCATTTATACGAAACATAGTTATCTCTCACAACACTTTCTGAGTGTGTTTTATACATAATATTTCTACATTTTACTCTGGTTCTCTGAGTTTTGGGAACATTTTGAGGGTTTAGGGTTTATATATTGTGCCATGGTAGTTGGTATGGGTGGTGTCTCATTGCTACCTTTAACCACAAGTAGTACATGTTTTAAGTGCCTTCTATCTGAGATCTTTATGTTATGTTTCTAGAAGTCAAAAAGAAAATAAAAGATAGTGTTATGTTTCTTTGACCACGATGAAATCTTTGTTGCAACTCTTTGTTTTATAACTTTTCTGTTATTTAGCTTGGCAATTAGGAATCAATTGATTGAAATGTTGAAATATATATTTAGCATAATGGAAGAGTACATGTTTGCTCCCTTGTTCTCTGGGTTAATACTTCTCCTTTTTGGTTATGGTAATTTACATACTTCTATTGTTGACTACAGGAGCTCTATTGTTTTTCGCTTTGCTTGGGTTGTCTGGCTGCTTCATTACTTGTTACGACCGTAGGGTGCGCAACGATTTGGCTCAGCCATGTCGTGAATTATGCCTTTGTTGCTGTCAACCTGGGTATAAGTCTACACTTGGAAATCTTTGACCCAGTTGGTACACATGATTTACGTGGTTATATTATCACCTCTAAATGTATTAAGTTTTTGTATTTACAGTGAAGAATTTGTGTTTGTAAAATATAGATGCATAGTAATACAACCATAGCAACTCTTAGAAGAAAAATGATCAAACACCTATCATCTTTTACAGGCAAGCTCTGTATTGTTTGTGACACACACACATATATATATATATATATGCTATTGCTATGCATGTGTGATAGTTTTCTTGTCAAGCTTCATTAAATTTCAACTGGCAAACGGGCACATGGTATGCATGTGAGGTAATTTTTGCTAGAAGAAATTGAAAAGTGGGAAAAAAGCAGTGGGGGAGAGAAATATGGGTTTAATTTATTTTTATTTTTTATATAAAAATTTTAATTACTGTTATCCCCTGAACATATTAAATTTATTTTATTCAAACTACAATAAATAAGGGCATGTTTTTCTTTTCACCCTCATTGGTTGATAAGGAGGGTTCTCTTAATAATGTATGTAAATTTGAAAAATTTGACATTTGATTCCATGCATGCATATATTGGATTGTCCAATTGCTGTTCCTTCTTCCCTTTTCATTTCAATTGTTTCTTTGGCAAATGAGGAAATGTGTCTTCCTTGCATATATTACACTTTATTAATATGTTTTTATTTATTTATTTATAATGTTTTTCACTTAATATCTTGTAAGACAACTTTTTGTTGACTTTCTGTTTACTGCAGATAGGTTTCATTCATATTATCACATACCAAACTTTCTACTTTTAATTATCAATTTTTGTTTTGTTTGCTATTTTTTTTATTAACTGCATCAATAGTTGGATACTGTATTATAAATCACAACCCAGACACTTAATGTGCTACATCTGTCCACTTCTTTAGTGTGCGTAATATGTTGTCCTTATGATTCATTAATTCACATCACAATTTAGTGTTTATTCATTGAAATCAGTTTTTGAATGATGCAACTTAATTTTGAACAATCTCTGCAGTGTGTGCGCAGACTGTCATTTACCTGGAACACTTTGTATGTGGACTGACTGTACTACATGCTGGGGAAGTTGTGCAAGTATGGCAGGTGAATGTGGTTGCTTGGGAGGCGCTGGTGAAGCAGGGCTACCAATATTATTTATAATGGCTCTGATTGTGCTGGGACTTTTCACCGTGATTGGGATATTCTATAGTGTCCTCGTAGCTACAATGGTTGGACAACGGATTTGGCAGCGGCATTATCATATACTTGCAAAAAGGATGCTGACAAAAGTGAGTTAGGGACCTTACTTTTATAATTTGGTTTTTCAGGTCATGTTAATGTATCGTCTAGACACCGACTAGAGATTCCCATTTCATCATGCACCAAGCCAAGTAAAGATCAATGACCGAACATAATTTCTTTTTCTTGAAATTTTTATTTTTTTATTTTTTTTTATAACTACTAGGGCCATTAAATTGTAGTTGAATTCAGTAGAGGGACACCTTTAGCAGACTTAAACAGTATTGCATGGTAACCCATGTCATCGATGAGAAATAGTGTAGTTAATAGTATAATCTCCTGGTGAAACGTGATTGGAATTTGCATCTACCCGCACATGTTGCAGTTAAAACTCAGTATAAGATGTTGATCATGTCCCCTTGGCCCATTTATGGAACAAGGAATGCTTAACTTTGCAAGCTTAAGCTATCTGCTAAGCCGGATCTGTGAGTTGTTCTGATGAATTAGTAGGTCTACTTAAGTCCGTAATAGATAAAACAGATTTTTGTATATACTAAACTAACTAAACAATTTCTGTTTATCAAAAAAGGGAAGAAAATTTATCGTTTCTGTAATTTGTAATGATACTGGATATTGTCATACAGGATCTTTATTGCTTAAAGTTTGTTTACTGGTGTAGGAATATGTTGTTGAGGATGTTGATGGTGAGATAACAGGATCTGATTGGTCTCCCCCACCTCTCCCAGCTGAGCATATTCAGCAGCTGAAAACGCTCGGCCTACTATAGATATGAAGAGGGCTTGTTTACTATTTACCAGAATAACACGACGTTGAGATAGACTGCCTGCCTCTGCATTTGGTGGGTCAAGTGTTTTTACTATAGGCTTCCGAGTCTCGTTCGCTCGCTTTGATCCGAAAAGAGTTGATGGTCACTGAAAATATCCCATAACCATTTCTTCTTGTTTGAGTTATATTTGTAAAATTTTATCAGTGTAAGAAATCAAGAGTAGGATAATCTCAAAATCACTAACATGTATATCATTGATGTTTTCTAGCCATAAAAAAGAACGACTCCTTAATTTTCTCGCATTTCTTGTTTTTGGGGGAATGTCTAAGTGTTATCTTGTGGTTTTTTTGGTTTTTCTGTTTTCCTTCCTGGCAATGAAATGTACAAGTCTGATGTGGCCTATGCATTATCTACTTGTTATTGGTTTGATGGTACTTCTCTTTGAAAATTTGGAACCAAATGCCGTAAGCATTCGGTATTTGCGGGGTTCGAATTAGTACTATACTAGATTAGAAATTAGAGATTGAGTGAATTTTTGCGCTCTTCTAAGTGAGAGGGTGGTGCTTATTTAGTTTAAATTTTAAGATTCAGGTCTTAAATCAATTAAACTAAACTAATCTAACAACAATCAACGGGATGAGTATCACCATTATTTTAGAGGGTGTACGAAGTTGCACTTATAAAGATTAGAGGTGTGATTTTCCGTAATTTAAGAGTACTTTGTTTAGATAATATTAGGAATATTAAAAATTTAAATCAAATTTGAAAACCAAATGAGATGTCATTAATAAGAACATAAGCATGTTAATTGATATTTAATTAATAATTCAAGCATCTACAATCACATTATTTAATTTATAATTTAGTTTGAAAGATTTGGATTTAGCATTACCTTGTTTAGTAAGCTTCTTGATCTTTTGGGGTGATGATGGGGCTGCTAGATTCTTAGTGGGTCCATATCATCTTAAAAGATCAAAATTGTTTTATAGAATAATCGAACATTCGAGATGCAATGGATTGAATCGCGTGAAATGGTGGGTTTGGTCTGGTTGTTTGTATCACAGAAACTGGGGATTTTCCCATACATGTATGCGCCTGGCATACAAGAATAATGCTAGATAGATTAAATTAACAAATCAAATGAGGTGTCATTAATAGAAAATAAATACGTTTATCAACGATTAAGTAATTATTCAATCATCAACTTTCATGTCATTTAGTTTACGAAATTTAGTTTACAAATTTAATCTCTCTAATATATTTCAGCATATAAATATGTATTTCCGATACATGGTACGTATGACATGTATGTTTCTCCCTAAGATGTCGGTGGCAAATGATGTAAATATATGTCGTACAAGACAGGTGTTAGCCCTATAGAGGCTTTTAGCAATGCATGACACTTTCCCCTCTTTCGGTTGTATTGTCAGCGGGCGCCCTCCACATCTACCATTAAAAGTAAAACAATCGGAATGGAAGCCAAAACCAGGAAACCACCCAGCCTCCATAAACAAATATAAATATGGAATATATATATTCTAAGCCTTATCCACTTTTGTTAGCATCTAAACGTCCTTTCCTATAAATAATTGCCCCCGACAGGCCACATTATGTTGTCAATCAAATTAGAGAGAGAGAGAGAGAGAGAGAGAGAAATGGCAGATATTTCAATTTTGGTGGCAGAAGAGCATGAGAGAAGGGTAAAGAATGGAAGAAAGGATGATGATGATCATCATCAGCAGCAGCAGCAGCAGCAGCAGCAGCTAAAGAGTGAGTTGGCTTCTCGTGTTTCGGTTTTGGCTCAAACCCTGCAGAAGAAGATTGGACACCCAAAGATGGAGTTTTTCAAGTGGTCAAAGGAGCCCAGAAGCCAAGTTGGTCTTGAGGCCTCCAATTGCTTCTTCTCTGCTTAATTAATTGAATTCAACGGAATCATCTTCCAGCTGCTTTTAAATTTTCTATTTCTAATGTGTTTTCCTGCTGTACATGTAACATGATATCCGCTTTCTTTTTGCTATCATCATCTGCACAAAGCCTGTTGTTTTTCTTTTTTTCAGTACTAGAATTGGGTCGATCAACATTTTATGCTTTTAAGGAAATATCAATGAAAATAAATTTTGGTTAAGTAATATTTTGGCAGTTATCAGAGAAGCTCATTATTTCTTTTGGGGAAATAATGGCAACAACCCCCTAGCATCCGATAACTGGTGGGCTCAAATTGTTTCGTCTAATTTTCTGTGGCGAGATCATTTCTTGGTTGTTGGAAAGAAAACTACTGCTTTAGCTGCTTAGAGCGGTATTCTGAAATCTAGGACGGTTTGAGATGGTTGGTAATCGGAAGACTAAATTGTAGCAATGATTCATTAACTTTAACTCAATCGAAGCAATGGTTCATCAACTAAAAATTCATTACCGTTAGTCTTCAACTCATCAAAACGTGCAGTTATAACCCCTTAACTAAAAACTCATTACTATTGATCCATCAACTTTAATCCAATTGCAGAAATGGTCTCTCAACTCTTACCCAATTGAATCAATGGTCTATTAATTTTAATCCAATTGTAGCAATGGTTCTTCCAACATAACTCATTTTGACAAAATTCTGACGAAATTGACGAAAATGATCATAGCTACACGTTTTGATGAGTTGAGGGACCCAATTGTAGTAATGGTATTTTCAAGATAACTTATTTTGACAAAATTCTGACGAAATTGATGAAAAATATCATAGCCACACATTTTGATAAGTTGAGGGACTAATAATAATGAATTTTTATTTGAAGGGTCCTTGCTCCAATTTAATTAAATTTGAGAAATCATTGCTACAATTTACTCAATTAAAAATATGGTCTTATAATTAGGGTTTATTGTTCCTTTTGTTCTCTTTACTTTCTGCTTCTTTGAGGGATTATTGCTCTAATTTAATTAAAATTGAGAAACCATTGCTACAATTTACTTAATTAAAAATATTTTGTTTGGTCTTATAATTAGGGTTTATTGTTCCTTTTGTTCTCTTTACTTTCTGCTTCTCAAGTTAGTGGTATTCCTTTGGCAAATTTTCTATCAAGTTAATGGTATTCCTTTGACAAATTAAAGGAGAGGATCCTCATTCATTGATTGGAAATTTGGAACCTAACTCTGGGCGTTGTCTTCCTTTGGCAAATTTTCTATCGAGTCTACTGCTTGGATGCAAATCCAAGGATTTGGATTCCATGCGGATTTAAATTATGGAAATTCTAAAGATTTTTACGTTTTAATCATTTATCGTGCATCGTACGGTCATAAATAATTTGAATTTTTTTTTATTTAAACTTAAACATAAATAGTATCTAACAAAAACTAATCATACAATGTATAATAAACGATTAGAATATAAGAATCACTAGAATTCCAACAAAATGAATTCGGAGAGGATCTCTTCTCAATTCGAGGCTTGTACCTCTGACTGTCTGACAGACAGACATGCATGTTTCTCTGTACAATGTAGGTGGCAAATGGTATAATCTATGTTGTACGAGACAGGTGTTAGCCCTCTAGAGGCTTTTAGCAATGCATGACACTTAGCCCACTTTCAGCGGGCGCCCTCATACCATTAAAAGTTAAAACAAACAAACGGAAACCAAAACCAAAACCACGAAACCACCCACACTAAAATAAAATAAAAGAATCTTAATGATATTATTCACTTTTAATATTAAGAATATTTTTATCTTGAAAAGTCATTCATAATAATTCATTTACATTTTTATTTTGTTATTTTCATTAAAAACTAAAATTTTTTTAAAATTTTCGTTAGTTTTCATTAAAATGAAATAATGGTATTATGTAAGAATAGTGAGCGCAGTAACCTGTAAGCCTTATCCGCCTCTGTTAGCATCTCAAGTTCCGTTCCTATAAATAATTGCATCAGACAGGCAACGTTATATTGTCAATCAAATTATCAACCAAGTCCCAACAATTTCAAAGGAAGTTGAGAGAGAGAGAGAGAGAGAGAGAGAGAGAGATGGCAAATATTGCAATTTTGGTTGAAGAAGAGTATGAGAGAAGGTGAAGAATGGACAAAACGATGATGATCATTATCAGCAGCAGCAGCAGCAGCTAGGAGTTTGTCAAGTGGGCAAAGGAGCCCAGAAGCCAAGTTGGTCTTGAGGCCTCCAATGGCTTCTTCTCTGCTTAATTGAATTCAATGCAATCATCTTCCAGCTGCTTTTTCATCTTTTATTTCTTTTATTTAATTTTCCTCTGTTCATGTAAAATGATATCAACTCTCTTTTTCCTATGATAATCTGCACAAAATGTGTGTGTTTTTTTATTCCTTTCTATTTGTTGTAAATTAGATTCTGTATTTCAAAATTCACATGTACATAGTTAATTATCCATTTGATTAACTACTATGTATAGTTAATTTCTTAGTGCATCTTCGTCCGTTAGTAGAGGGCAATGACAATTGAAAGGGTAATAAAATTACCTTTACTATTCTCAAAACAGTAATTGTTTTTGTGCAAGTTCACCCTTATGGAAAGATGAAGGGTAAGTGTAAGGGGGATTGCTATTTACAAATAATTTTTGAGTAGTGCTATTTACACATTTTTATTTATTTATCACATACCTTTGTTAAATTTTCTTCCATTGATCTTCTTCAATTCATTCGATTCGATGACCGAAAATTGAGAAGGGTGTGTGAGAAGTAAAAGTCGGGCTGTGCTTAACCCTACTTTTTTTCCTTTTTGTTTTCTTACGTTTTGTGTCTTGTAAATGTGTAAGTTTATTCTATAAAAATAAAACTCTCTATTATAATTTTAAATACAAAATTAACGTTACAAACAAACATAATTAATAAAACAATGACATTTTGTTCAAAAAAAAATGGAGCAGTAACAAATACACGGCATTACAAACAAACAGGCATAAATGTTAGTACAAGTTTTTATAAGGCTTATTTTCAGCTATGTCTCTTAAAACTATTTTAATCTTATTTTGTCTTCTATAATTTAAAAGTTACTCCTTTACTTATTGAAACTCAAATTTTGTTCTACTTTGACTTCTAGACTCTTTCTTTTCCCTAAAGTCGCCTCCTAAAACACATGGGAGCATGTTTGCTCATCACCTTAAACCTTGGTGTATACTCACAATACACCTAATCATCTGCCATATGTCCTTTCACTTAACCTTGGTTAATTTTTTTCAAAATTGAAAAAGTAACATTTAATGTTAAAGTTAACTAGAGTTAGATGAAAGGACACATGTGTAATAAATTTGATTATAAATCTCCATTATACATCAACATTCAACAATTAGATAA